ACAGTCATCCATAAGCACGAGCGGATATGCACGGTTTTGGATAGGAAACAAACAAAACCAGACACCGAATCTGGACAGAACATGCTTTAGTTGAGGAGATATGCGCCATGAATCCCTATCGTATTGTTGGACCCTACCTCCTGCGAAACGGTGAGTAATCCTGTACACACATATAACCTGACGCACTCACCGAGTTCTCTCACATCCCATCAAGATAGTGCGCGCGCCACTCTTCGTCGGTCATGCCGAGAGCCTGCGCCTCCTCCAGCAAGCGTGCCTGCGTTTCGAGCTGGTCACGCATGGTCTCGCAGGATGCCACCTCGCGAGCGAGGAGCGCCATGTGCTCCTGGTGCGTCCTCAGGCCCTCTGGCGTGAGGGTCCGAATCATCTCCGGGTCCTCGCTCTCGAGCTCCTCCTGCGCGTCCTGCGCTTGCTCATCATAGCCGGAGGCACGGTCGTAGAGACCCTGGATTTCGGTGGCAATGGTGTGGCGTGGCCGCAAGTTGCGATCGAGGGATACGGTGCCATAGCTGAACGAGACTTCTCCCCACATGATGGTTGCACCAGCACTCGCTGTTGAGCGAAAGGAGGCAGTCAACGCGCGGATGGTCTACATCATGCAACAATATCGGTCAGTTGGTTGGCGAGGCGCATACTACACCAGACAGAAGACACATACATCTCCGCTCACATGGTGAATATTAGAATCATTGGGTTCCATGTACGCATACCCGAGGATTGCACTGGGCTGGCGGAGGCTCCCTGATAGGTCATTCGACGCTGAGGGCTCGATGTCGTCCAATTCCTGGAGCGCCGGTATGTCGTCCAATTCCAGGAGCTCCGGTACGTCGTCCACCTCCTCGAGTTCCGGTAAATCATTCCACATGGACGCATCGTCAGCGTCGCTAGTGGACGCATCGTCGCTGTCACTAGTCACGTCCATCATGCCCTCTGGCGGTGGGCTGTCGAAGGAAGACCAGGTCGACATTCGGCAGCGTGCAGTTAGTGAGAATGGTGATCGACGTATGAGAGCAGGAGCGGCGATAAAGAGTGTGGTATGTAAAATGCAAAGTTTGACTGTTGCGCTGTCTGCACATGGCTGCCGCGTGATCGACCCTGCATGTTGCCGTCTCATTTCGCCTGCCCGCTGAGTACGTACACGCGCAATTATTACATTTAATCTGTGTTCGTTCTTGGTGCACAGGTCGCAAAGACACCCTACCTCGGTTGTAAATAACTGCGTCGGCAAGACCACAAACCGGCGGCGACTGGGGAGCAATAAACGAGATTTTGTACGCATTTTCTACCTCGTGAGGTGCGAAACTGCACACATGTGCAGTTTCGCTTTTTTTGGGGGGTGTCTAATGACGGAACATGCACAAAATGGTATACAACTGTTATGGCATCGTGTTTATAGAGCGATACATGCATCACGGGATGGTGCTATATACAAATATATTGGTAATAGGAGATGATGAGGTTGTAAATTGGGGTTGAGGGACAAGTACCGAGGCGCGAGGTCGCTATTAGGGGTATACTACTTTATTACATGGCCAAAACATGGGGTATAGACCCGCGTGCCAGACACGGTGCGCACAACCCTGCGCGCGAGAGGGATGGCAAAAGCTGTGCCAGCGGGCGCTTGGGCTTGCACGCGCGGGCGCTTGCCTAGCCATGGCGTCTAATGGCTAGGGCTAACCCTAGCGGAGACTTTTTTTGCGCCTGTTTATAGTTCGTGGAGGCGAACTGCCAGGTCAGGCTTCTTGTGAACTACGTTTACGCACCCATGGAGGTACTGAACGCACGTTTGCAGCCACGAGAAGCTGCAATCGGCTCGTCTACGCTGATCCATCATGCGGGACAGACTCCGATTCCAAGGAGGCTGCAGTTCGTTACCTTCCACGCCGACCTGCCCTTTCCCAAGCCTCAGTACCTTCGCATACGGACGACTCGCTGTTGCGTCGCCCACAGATCTAGGGCCGCAGGGTACGTCGATCGTGCACTCCTTGGGATGGACGAAACACAGCTCTTGGTCAACGACGGCGCATCTGGGTCGTACTCTCCCTCGCGCTGCACCGCTACTTGGTGTTAAGACGACACCTTCGAGGGTCGTGGTAACGTTCAGGTGCAAGGGCCTAGCAGGCAGGAGAGGAGACTCGAGTTCAGGGGTGAAGGTGATAGATAACCAGGTCGAGCTGAGGACCATCCTCAGCTCTCCAGGGGTCCTAATATACATAGAAGCCAGGCCGAAACGGTGCGTACTAGGGAGGCAAGCCTGCTACCTACGGGACCATAACAATGAGGCGCTGCCTCATGGTGTCATACCGTAGCTGTACCGTATCCGCGTGTAG